CCCCAAAACCCCAAAACCCCAAAACCCCAAAACCCCAAAACCTTGTCTTTAAACAGATTTAACATGTAATCTATTAAATATATTAAAGAATAATGCAGATATTTATATGAATAATTCTAGTATTCTAACTAATACTTATAGGGCAACTATATTTGTAGACCCTCACTATTTGAGAGTCTGAGTTACCTCAGGTCATATTCAATTCAAACTTAGATCAGCAAGCTTCTTCAGCAGTTCCTCTTTGGCACTTATCTTCGCCTGTTCTTCCGAATTCAGTGCTCTATTAAGTTTCTCCAGTTTCTCAATCTATTTTAACTTTTTATTAAGCCTTTTTGACTCTTTTTCCTTCTATTCCTCTAGAAAGTCTAACTCTAATTCTAAATTAATTTTTGATATATCATCATCATAATCAACATCTCTCTCTTTCCTTTCGTCTTCGAATTATTTCCATCTATCATCTGATTGCACATCATTAGACTGCTATGCTTCTTTCTTTCTGTATTTCTTAGAATTGTTCCCCTCGTTATTTGTATCAGACTGCTGATGTTTGTCACCTTAATGCTAAGTATTTTACTACTTTCCTTGCAAAATGATTTACCTATGCGAGCCATTTACAGGAGTTTCCTTCTCCTTACTATGATTCTTTTATTTCTGCTATTGTTACAAGGACTAATATTTCTTGGGTGTGGCGTTGCTATTATTTTCATCTTGATAACTATCACTTTAAGAATGGGAATGCTGATGTTTAGATTGACCTTACTTAGAGTTTGTAATACTGTTATCTTAAAAATAGTTATGATTTTGAGAATATCCATTCATATGACCTTTCATATTTAGGAATTCATTATTTTTATGATTTTGATTGACAGGCTAGTTTGCTTGCTATTCTCTTCTCTAATAGACATTAAAATATATGTGGCTTAGAAATTACCCTGTGAGGAGCCTAGTAAGTTTTCATTTGTTCTAAAGGCACATATCCGGGTCTTATTCTTAATTCTTTTCTGATAGATCCATCTTATCGAACTGAAGCTACAAAAAATGCTTAGTCTTAGATTTCAATGATAAGGGTGGTTTTGTGAATAAAAAGTAAAGTGACGAGTGAATGATTAATTTTTGAGGAACTTACCAGGAATCACACTATACTCCATTGATTATTATATTAAAATTATTTCGCTACAATAAATTATAATTTCAGTTTTTCCGATAGAGAAGTAGAATGTTATCTGTGGGGTTTTGGGGTTTTGGGGTTTTGGGG